ACCCCAAAAGGTAGGGGGTAAAATCAGTACTGGACATAGGTTGAAACGAAATTGTCCCTTTCAAAATTTCAAATAATGCACTGTTATTACTTGAAACCACCACCGTGATGACAGTAAAGCAAGAAATTTGCCCTGCACTCGTTAGTACTGGAAACTACCACAGTGAAGCTCGCCGTCGAGCCGAGCACCCCGAACGCTCCCACGGATTTGGCCGGCTGCCGCAGCGGCGGGAGCAGAATCTTGGACTGCCGTGAGCCGGTGATGAGGCGTAGGAGGAAGCAGTCTCCGGTGGGCTCGTCCAGCATCAGCAGGAGATCGCCGCCGTTGTCGATGCAGCCCCGGCAATGCTTCCCTTACATCTCCGGAAAGGCTCTCTCGTGGAAGCTCTGGTCGGACATGCATGTCGACAAAAGTTTGTGCTTGCTTGTGGTGTCCATGGGCCTCGATCATCCAAGGCCTAGTGTCGAAGCCACGTGGCAACGAGCACTCTTCACCTGGGACGGTTGCTTAAGGGTGTGTTTGGATAGAGGATTTTGGATGAATAGGACATTATGACCCATTTTTTATGGGTGTTTGGTTGGTGGACTGAAGTGGGATTGAGCGGTCCGGAGAAGAATATTCCCTTCAGATGCCGGATGGAGCGATCCGAACGATTTGCCTGGACGCAGCCGCCCGATCACCTGGGCGAGTGGGGCGAGCGACAAGGTGGGTCGCGTCACCCCTCTTACCACATGATAATTAACAACGACGACATGAGCGAGGCGGCGGCAGTGGGACGCGAGCTTGGCGGCCGGTGCGGGATGCGAGCGTGGCGGCGGCAGCGGAAAGAAGGGGCGGGCGGTAGCGGAAAGAAGGGACGGCGGCCGCGCGAAGAGGATGTGCCGCCACTGCCGACGATGACTAGGACAATGACAACCAGATCTGGAGGAGACGGGGTGCACCGACGACCAGGGGCGCAGGAGACGACGACCGGATTTGGAGGAGGCGGGGCGGCGGTCGGCGAGAGGAGCGGGACGACAGCCGGCGAGAGAGGAGGCGCAGCAGCGGCGACGGCCGGTGAGAGAGGAGGCGGGCCGGTGGCCGACGAGAGAGGAGGTGGGTCGGCGGCCTGTGAGAGAGGAGGCGAGGGGCGGGCGGCGAAGAGGACCAAAATATATTTTTTAACTTTTTTCCGTTTTCTCCTTTCCCCCTTTTATTTATTTCTAATTTTTTATTTCTATTTAGATTTTTTTTTAAATTGTCAAATTGAATATCAAGAACATGGACATGTATTTTAAGATATGTGTTTATTTTTCTATCTTGGTCGGATTTGCTCTTGCTCCTAAAAGAAAGAAAATGATGTTTCGTACGTTCTGCGGATGATCTCTCTGCTAAGGTTGCACCCTTAGCAGGTTGACAACTTGTTAATTAGATGGTTAGGTTGTTTAGTGATACGATGGTACTGGGGAGGCATCCACTTCCATCAGATCTCCATGCAGCAGCAACTTTTGTGCTAATAGAGAGCGTCGTAGTAGTTTGCCAGGGGGTTTAATGCTCTGCCCCGCCCTCTGCATTTTGGAATCAAAAGTCAAAACACCCATTGCTGCAACGCAGCGCTACGTCCTTGGCAAAACGTTGACACGATTTATTTTTTGTGAATAGCTAATTTAGTTCTCGAGTTTCACCGAAAACTCAATTTAGTCCTTTAGATTTTATTTTATCCACATAGATCCTCTAAGTATTTGTTTTGGCCTAAAATCATCCTTGGGCCCACTTAATATGCCATATGGCTATTTCTAGTCAATAATTCTATTAGAAAATATCTATTTTGCCCTTAATTTGTATACAACTATACACAAAAAAAAAAGAAAACCAAAATAAATAATCAACTTTGCATATGGGTGCGTCCACAAAATAGTTCGCGTGCGTCCACAAACTAGTCTTCTTCGGGTAATAATGCATTTTCTCGTTGTAAGGATGGGTGCGGCCGGGCTGTATCGATGGTTGAAGACTTGAGGTGGGAGAAAACTAGGCTAACTATTGTTTCCGCGTGTGTCTGTCTTTATCCTGTTCCCCTGCCTGGCGGTTGTGCCGCCGGTGTCGCCACACGCCTTGGATGAATGCGCCGCCACACGTATTTGCTTGATGGTACACCGTGCGTGTCCATTATAGAAATCGGCAATGAGAAAAGAGCTAGTGCACGAGATCTAAAATGTGAGTAAAGGGATAAAAGTTTATACAGATTCAGGCCCTCTCAATGAGAGTTAATACCCTACTTCTATTTCGAGGATTATATCCATTAGGTGTTGTATCGATCTGACGATCTGATTATAGTTGTGTCCTCAGGGGATATTTGTCCTGCTTATATAGGTTGGGGGCAGGGTTACAAGGTAGAGAATCCAGTTGGACATGACATAATATCCTCATATATTTGCATAATAGTATACAACTAAGACTTATGAATTACGCCTTGATAAACACGATAACACATATTCCTAAGTCTAAGTCTATTTACATAACACACGGATATGGCTCACCTCCTATCTTTAGTCGGATAAGCTATCCGTGTGTGTATATGGTACACATAATCTCCACAGCAGCCCCTGAGACCTTCGCAGTCAAAAAGATAATCTTCTCTCGAACTAAGCTAATCGAAAGCCGAGTGCTTCAACTATCTCCGCCATGGTCTCCCGAGTGCTTTTACCAAATCATAACGCTGTGAAGAGCTGGAATTAATAATCGACTAGATGCACATAACTAGGTGTAGCCCCCAACTATATGATTGGTTGTAAAGAAACTAACATATAGTCAAAGAGTTAAAAATCAAACCTGTCGAGTGGTTTTAACAAAAGATAATGGCATATGTGGTGTAAAATCCGAGTAAATAATTAGGGGCAATTGCATCGGTGCCCCCACTTTCGAAGTCAATTGCTGTTTTACCCTCACTTTTTAGGGTTTGCATTTTTGCCCTCACTTTTTGAATCTGAAGCAGCCGTGTACCCCCACTTCTAACGGCCAGTTTTAACGGTGTGAGTTGCAGAGAAAAGGACATTTATACCCTCGATGGTTATTGTATTTTTGCCCTCATTTTTTTCAGCTTTGTGTGATTTTACCCTATTTTGTGACTACGGATTGTAAAATTCAAATATGAGCATGTTATGTACATGTTCGGATTACAAAATTTGACCAAAATTTCAATAAAATTTCGACAAAATTTTGACACAATTAGCATAAGGTGCGCGGCGGCGGGCGGCGGCAAAGGTGCCGACGATGTACATGTTCGGCGACTCCACGACAGACGTCGGCAACAACAACTACCTGCGCCGCCGTGTACGCCCTCGGCCGCCGCCGCCTCCCGTACGGCGCGTCTGCGCCTCCCTTAGCCGCCGCCTCTGCACCGCGCACCCTCACGGCCGCCGCCGCCGACCCGTGCACGCGCTCGCGGCCGCCGCCTCCGCGCCGCGCCGCCCTCGGCCGCCACCACCGCCTCGCGCGCGCGCCCGCGGCCGCCGCCGTCGACTCGCGCGAGCTCCCGCGGCCGCCGCCGCCGACTCGCGCACGCGCCCGGGGCCGCCGCCGCCGACTCGCGCACGCGCCCGGGCCGCCGCCGCCGACTCGCGCGAGTGCCCGCGGCCGCCGCCTCCGCGCCGTGCCGTCCTCGGCCGCCGCCGCCGCCGCCGCCGCCTTGCACGTGCGCCTGCGGCCGCCGCCGCCAGGCACTTGGTGGGAGATGCACAGGGTGGGAGACTCACTCAACCTTATCCATTCCCTTAGGGGTACAAAGGTAATTTCATAATTCCTAAAGCCTTTTTTTTATTTGCTTTTGTATTGCTTTAACATACAACGTGGGACCCACCAAACGGCTGTCACAAGTGAGGGCAGACGGTTGCTTCAGATTCAAAAAGTGGGGGTAAAACTGCAAACCCTAAAAAGTGAGGGTAAAACAGCAATTAGCCTTCAAAGTGAGGGCACAAATGCAATTGTCCCAAATAATTATAACAACCCTTCCTCTAGATCGAACCGCGTAGCCAACCCATCCGACAGGCGGGCCCACTTACACATACCACTCCACTTACACTTTTACCCAGCAACACAGGCAAATGTCCAGGAACACACCCCCTCTTAGCGCACATTCATACGTCCAATACCGACGCCATATACGGCCGCCTCATGCAACTACGAGGGTCGGCTCTGATACCGTTTGTAACGGCCCTCCCTCCAGAACCGCGTAGCTAGCCCATTCGATGGGCGAACCCACTTACACATACAAACCCGCTTACACTTTCGTCGTCGCTTCCAGTAAAAGGGTTAACCCGGGAGTGGCATGGTTGGAGTGACAATGCCTTATAAGTTGGTTCCACCCTTGCTAAAGTAGCAAGGTAGTACTAAACATACGCACACAACTCATATGGGCCACATAGGCATCATCCTAATTGGGGCCAAGATATCACAATAATACTCAAAATGGATTTACCAACAGCCTGGAAATGATAAAAAGAAATGCCATAAATATCTTGAAGGCGAAGGTAACTTAAAAAAAGCACATATAAGTGGCTATTATAGAAACAATGACATAGCACTTAGTTAACTAAATCGTAAAATTTATATTGAACAACACTTAACTTTAATATAAAAAAATTATAGTATAAGGGCAACTATAACAGCAGGCTATAAACGGGCTAAATGCTGCGATGGAGGAGAGAAGAGAGGAGAGAGAGGAGAAGCGGGCTGTAAACTTACAGCCGGCTTGGACACAAAACCAAAAAACTCTGTGAGAAAGACAAGTGTGCCATGTATAATTGTAAAGAGGTAACTATTATATGAGTAGGCTGAAAGAAAGTTACAAAGAACCTTATAGCCAACGGGTCGGCTATACTATTAGTCTTGCTCTAAACCATAAAGCTCACTGTTCGCCACCTCTTTAAAGTGATCGTACCAACTTTTATAAAACTAGATGATACCCCGCGCGTTGCTGCGGAATATTTTGTTTCCAAAAATGTTTGTGCCAAGAATGCTAAAAATAAATTAATAGTGAGAGCAACTCAAATATATGAAGAAAGTTTGGAGTTGTAGTTGAGACTACAGTAAATACATATTGATATGTTCTTGTGAAAAAAGAGCAAGATTGGAGTATATTACATAGTGACATGTGCACCTTTTACAGCCCACGGAGTCAATTAATATGGATAAGAGTACTATATAAACTCAAAAACACTTAGGAAACCATAGTCAAATACGTTTTTAACTTACAGAAAGTTCATCAAGAATGGAACTGCTTATTAGCCTCCTTTTTAAACGTTCATACTTGTCTGTTTTTAGCAGCAGTCTAAGTAATTTACTGATCCCTGCAAAAAAAATGTAATTTACTGATCAAGTATCAAGCTTCATAAGATTAGTCTAGCTCCCCCAGCTAACAATGTGATGACGAATCGAGCAACGATGTAAAAGGTTGCGCAAAGCCAACCTATATAGGACGTGGCACTGCAAAATGATATGAAAATAGATAAACAAATATATGATAATTCTAATATTTATGAGGCAAGGAAAACATTAATATTGTATTATATGGTTTAAAAAATGTTGTATTCAAATTACTTTTTAGCAAAAGGAAGTGAAATTCAGTGACTGAATCCACTGAAACATCCATTTTACCTCATACTGCAATATTGCAAACTTCATCGGCTGAACTGACGAATTTATCGTAGTAGAGCTTATATCTTTTCGATGAAATAAAAAAATTATGCAATATTTGATGCATGAAATCCGTAAGGTAAAAGGCTTAATCCATGGTTTTTTTTTCACAAGGTATTCATCAAGAACAGTAACCATACTAAGTGAATGATGGTAACAAAATTCTGAGAACATAGAAATTGGTCAAAAGAAGTTCTGAACATGCCAAAAATCAAATATGTAACTCCGCACTGTAGCAGTAGCACTCTTTCTTGTGCTTGATCAAATCACTTGATGCCATTATATCATTACGATGAAAAGGAGTTATATTGATCTGAAAGAAATGTGAAATAGATCAAATCCCTTGAATGTTCTGAAATCACCATCATAATTTTCATTAGTGACAAACAGATGAAATGGGAAGGTAGAGAGGTAGGGGATCACAAACTTGTAAGGATATATTATTTAGCATCAAAGGGGAGGCCAATTTTCCTCGAGTGGCCATCCAGGTAGAATGTAACTTTGACCACCTCTGCTTACCGAAGATACTGAATCTTCCAAACAAACTTTTGGTTATTTGTTTATAGGAGGGGGAGGGGGGAGAACAAAGATTAACCTGAGCTAACAATCTAGCAAGAGATAAAAAGAACAAATAAATGAATGAATGAGTAAAATATAAAAGATGATATCGGCTACCTGAAGTGAGAGGATAATGGCACAGCAAAGGAGAAAATTGCTTAGTACCTCTTACAAAGAAGATATCATAGGATGGTTGTATTATAATATCTGGAAAGTCGGTGACCATGAACGAATATGTGGTACCAAATATATTGGGATATTTTCTTGATAGAGAACTCATATGGAGAAACCAGATAAGCCGCTGCTTTGGATGGGAATGTTATGGAGACTGACCTCAGTGATAGCCCATAGCTGCTGCTACAATGATAGTAGACAATAGGAATGGGAATGAACTGCAATATAAATTTATAAACACAACAAATTATAGCTACAGCAAAGTTGTAAATTTGATTTATATACCATGAACAGGGTTAGTGGAAACCAAATAAATACCATGAATTGACTCAAATTTGACGTGTTGAATCATACTATATCTTGCATCCAATATTAGTAGCAATGTTAGGAAAATACAGGCTAAAACTTATAATCCTGAGGTTTTATGTTACAAAGAAATTATTGGCAAATATCCCCCACCCTAGAACGATGCATGAATACTGATTTAGGGAGACAAACATTGCTCATATCACTTGTTACCTTAATGTCTTAACATGTATCCATAGGCTGCATCTTTGGACAACTATATATATTCAAAAGTCGTTTGCAGAAGATCACCATAAAAATGGAAACTCAAAAGTGAATCATGATGCCTAGTGGCTGATGCTACTTGTCTACCTGAAATACAGGATACATGTGGGCATTTTATCAAACAGAGATACGTATTGGATGGAGAAATTTACCTTACACTCGTTTCTGCAGCAGCAGGAGCAGACAGCCTGATAGAAACTCCTCAATTTTGATCGATACATGCAGGGACTGAAGATAGGAAGCAAGAACACAAATCGCCTGTGGCATCCATCACTCGACTCAATAGATATACGGAGGGAGGAGAAGCGGCCAGAGAATCGCCGGGGAGAGAATCCCGTAGAAGAACACACAACCTCGCAGAAGTGAAAGCTCGGATGAAACAAAGATTGGGGGGGGAGGGGGAGGAGAAGCGCTAGAGGGGGGTGGATTGGAGAAGAAGCGCCGGGGGGAGAGGGTTGGAGGAGAAGCGGCGCGGGGATGCGAGAGCGGCCGGCGGCGGGCCCGCGCCTGACGCGTGCGCGCGATTGGGGAAAGGAGCAAGAGCAGTCGGCGCCGGGCCCGCGCCTGGCGCGCGCGCGATGTGGGGAAGGGAGGAGTTGCGCGCGGGGGCTGGTGGGGAAAGGAGAGGAGCGCACGCGGGGAGAGGAGCGCGCCCGGCGGCGGCGGCGGAGAATCCGCGCTCGGTGGAGGAGGGAGGCGACGCTTAGGGAAGGATGGAATACATCGGACCGTCTGTAGCAACTGATCGAACGACTGAGATTAAAAGGGTGACGTGGCTTCACCAGAACTCAGCAAAATCCTAATAACTACACTAAGTGGGGATCACTTGTATAGTATTACTAGAAGGTACCCCGCACGTTGCTGCGGAACCTTGTAGAAAAAATTTAGAAGAATAGTTTGTAGTGAAAGCAAAAGGACTTTAAAGTAAGACAATATGTGAATATTACTTTGATTATATGATAGGGTACACGAAAGTTTTGTTAGAATGAAAGGAAACTGGGATGGATCAATATTAAGAAAGCAGTAATCAATGTATATGATTATTTGGAAGCACTTAGAGTATTTAGTTTGGATATAGTCTGACAACGAAAACAAATTACAATAGATGATGATTGCGGAAATAGTAACCAACAGAGATGATTATTTGGAAGCATCTGCAGGCTTTAAGTTGTATACGATGTATTGACCTGCAAATTTTGTTGGACAATGTATTAGAATGAATCATAGTAAGATTTGCTTGTATGATGATGTATTGTATCTGAAGTACTGTAAAGAGCAAGTACCATGCATATCATGTAGATTTCTGTGTGAGCTTATCCTTCTTTGCTGGTTGGAGCTTTTTGCTGTTTGAAATGGTTCATAAGAAATTGGAATTAGCATTATAGTTTAACTTTGCAATTTGGAAGGTGGGTTAGAAGTACGTACTCTTCCTTCTGACGTTTGACAGCAGGTATATCAAGTTGTTTGATACTGCCATGAAGAAGAAAATTATTGCAAGGGATAAACTGTAACTGAGAAATTTAAATAACTAAATGAGCTATGTGCAGTAGAGGTATACCTTTTAGTTTTGTCAGTGGAGTCCTCACTGAAATCAATGCTTCGTTTTGTAGATGTGCTGCTGAAATATATAATAGATTTAATGAATAAATGCATGTATTTAATTAAGTAGTTAGAATATGTAATTCTGACATGTTCTTTTCTGTGGATATGTTGACAGCTGCAGATGATTCTGGAGGTGTACTATCTTTGGATAATCCTGTATTATCAATAGTTGTGCTGAAATGAATTTGCCATTAGCAGTTAGTAAGTATAGTTTTATATGGATATGATGAATAGAAAAAATTGAGAGAACAGTAAACATTGGGCTACTTGTATATGTCATAGGTGGTGGGACCGTGGGAGTTGGAGTTGATCTTTGTTCTTGGAGAACTGAATTAGTTAGATAGTTCAAGCTAATTCAGTTGAAATATTGAACCAATGATAAATAGCATCTTCAGATGATATTTACTAACCTTTTCAGATGTCAGCAGAGGATTTGGCATAGTATCATCAATTGAGAAACTCCTTTTGAGCACATAGCTGATAGGGAACTTAGAAGATGAATCAGTATTCATTCCTATAGTAAAAAGTCTTGTTTTTCCAATGGCTTTATTAAGAGTTACTGGATGTTCAACTGAGTCTATCTTCATGTTCTGAGAAGCTTGGGCTGCATCAAGCTCAACTAAATCTTCAGCAACAAAAGAAAATGCCACTGCATCTAAACTCCCTGATTTATCTGTGATTGTCACGGGGAGTTTATACCTAAAGCATTGTAAAATAGTCAGTGGCATATATGTTATTTATATCATATTATTTTTAATTGTTGGAATGTAAGGTGAGAAGCTGACATTGGTTTGGGGAATGAAACCGCACAGTCACATCTTGGGGAGTCAGAACTATTGTTGTACCCTTTGTCACAACGATGACATCCTATGTAGTACCACTTAATTGATGACAGTATTGAAGACACTTTTGCAATTGCACTATAAGTAACTCCTCCCTTAAGTGAAGAAAATTATAAGAGTTATATGTTGTCTGAAGAAAAATATGGAATTCCAATAAGAATATAGATGGTTGTTTATGTGTTCAGTTTTACCTGAAAAGCTGAAACAGGCATAACAGATATTTCTTCTAAGTTGTAAATTTTTCCTGCTGCTTGAACTGGGGATAAACGTACAATCTTAGGGAGCTGTTGTTGAAGGCTTGGAGATCCCAGTTTATAGCTTAAAATTGCAACAATATAGGTTGGCATCATAATTGATACGAAAAAGAAAACTATTGAACAGGAAACTTGAACTTTAAGTAGTTTTAAGGGATTAAATTGAAATTACCTGGAGCGAAATTGTTCCACCTGTGGTATATCGAGGTCAATATGAATTTGAGTAGCGGAGCTTGAAGATGCTTCTGTTTTACCTACAATTGTATGTGGTAAATGATAAGTTTAAATTTTGTAGGTATGTTATGTGAGGAGGCATATTCTTTTCATGGAATGAACCTGCAAAATTGCCTGCAGTAAGACCAGCAAAGATGACTACTACAATTCCTTCCTTTGATTTTTCAAGTGTTACAGCTTCATTAAATGATTCTCCGTATTGTCCCCATAGAAGTACTTCTTGAGTCTGTTCTCTACAAAGGTAGAGCATAAAAACAATTAGTGAAATATTGAATTATCAGTTTAATGTTTGAAAAAGACATATACTCTTGGTTCTGAATTTGAATTCTTCTGAGTTTTTTGTCTGATGTTGGGCTCGCGAAATCATATGGACCAATACGGCTGACTACCCCAATTAAATCTGAAGGAAAAAGTTAAAAGAATGTCAAGTATAATAGGAAGTGTTTAGGGGTAAATTAAAAAGCAAGGATTACCTAAGAGGGGTTTAGAGGTGATGGTTTTTCCTGGAATTTGATCAAATGGGCAAAAGCTGAAAGAGAATTTTGGTATGGTTGATCCTCTAGATTCCAGATGATTCACTTTTGTTTCGTGTTTGAACTGGATCATGTAGCTTTGGTGCTGATAGATATAAGTCTTTCTTCTAGCATCAACAGCAGTAGTATTAGTAATCAGGTAGACTGATCCTTCATTTAGCAAGGGGCGAAATTGTTTTTCAAGCTTTTTTGGTACACTGATTTGTGCCATGGAACCCTGCAAGATTGTGATGCATAAGATTGTTATGGTTAATATTGAGTAGACCAACGAAATGTAAATGAATGGTTAATATTTGGTGTAAGACAAAAGAGATTGACACACATGTTCATCTAATAGGATTCCATCAATGCTGATCAATGGATCTGCTGATTTTGATCTCATGTTTAGAGCATCCCATAATCTTATTAGACGGCCAAAAACCTTGCAGTTTTGCTGGCCAATAGTTACATCTTTGAGTGCTGTAGCTGAGCTTGCCATCGAAATAAATCTGAAACAATAACAAATAATATTAGATAACTAAGTTATTATTTTTATTGAGCAGAATATGTAGATAAAAGTAGAATGAAACAAAACATTGTATAAGATAGGGCATGCACAATATACCTAGATATTTAGTTCCTGTGTCTAGATATTTGGCTGAATACCTCAGCATATACCACATTTTGTGTGCAGTTTTCATAAGAAGCAGGGCTATTTTCTATTAGAACTTTCAAACCCTTGGGGGAAGTAACTCTTGAGAATGCAACATATAATTGACCATGGGAGAAAACAGGAGAAGGCAAATACAGACCAACTCTGCTCAAGGTCTGCCCTTGGCTCTTGTTTATTGTCATAGCATATGAAAGACGTATTGGAATTGCCGGCGTCTCAATTTGAAGGGCCACTTGGACTGAGCTGATGTTGTAATGATGCGAGGAATATATGCTTTTGTACCTTTTGCCTTTCCTGTGATTATCTCTCCCTCAATAACACGATTTGTTAGCTGTGTGACAATCAGCCTAGTTCCATTGCAAAGTCCTCTTGATGCATCAAGATTACGCAAGAGCATTATAGGCACACCAATTTTCAAGTGTAACACATGTTCTAGAAGTCCATTTATTGAAATTGTGTTTAGAAACTCTGTTGGATATAGTGCCTCTAAAGTGGTATGGTTGGAACAGCTATCATCAATTGAATCTGAGCTATAGTATGACATTTCAGTGGTTGCTAGCTGAGCAATCATTTTGTTGTTTATTTCTGAAACTACATCATTTGTAGGTGCTAAAATTGCACGCTCGCATAAGTACGATCTAAGATCTGTTGTTTGACAACCTGAGTCGTACACAAAAGAAATCAACCCATCCAAATTCCTACAATCTGGAGATAGAAGGAGAGACTGAGGGATCTCTATAAACATGCCCTTTGGTTGGTCTGGGACATCAACATAAGGTTCTGCACCATTGCCTACTCTCAAAAGCCATTCAGCAAAATTTTTGAGGTCTTCTCTTTCCGATGCAGAAAGACATGCAGAGTTAAGTCTCATATTTTCAGTTAAATGAAGTAGTATGCACTGATTCCATAAATAAGAATTAACAATGCAAGATTTCAAAATCTTTTGCTTTGTTGCATTTTGGATGACTGGAAGTGTTTGGCGAAAATCTCCACCAAGAACTACTGTTATACCACCAAATTGCTTGTGTGTTGAATGTGGGCTGGTATCAGATAATATATCCCGTAGAGTCCGGTCTAATGCTTCAAAGCAGTACTTATGATTAACAGGAGACTCATCCCAAATAATGAGGGATGTTTTTTGGATCAATTCAGCAAGATTTGTATTTTTCTTTATACTGCACATTGAATTTTGTAAAATCTCCAAAGGGATTTTGAAACGCGAATGAGGTGTGCGTCCACCTGGAAGCAGCAAGGATGCAATTCCTGAGGATGCAACAGCCAATGCTATCTTTCCTTGCCTTCTTATAGAATTGAGCAAAGTAGTCCATAAGAATGTTTTCCCAGTTCCTCCATATCCATAAACAAAAAATGTTTTCCCTTCATTATTGACCACAGAATTATAGATAGCATTGAAAACTTCCTTCTGGCTATTATTTAAACATGACACTTCTTCATCTATGGTGTATCCCATGTTACAAACATCATAGCTAAGCTCATCTAGTAGAAGCCTATTCTGTGCAGACACACTTGCAATATCATCTGGCATTGGCAAATTAAAATGAGATAAACTATACCCAGCGTCTCTTAGCAGCTTGTCTAACTCAAGAAGGAGAGAAGATGTAACAAAAGTATTGTTGGAGCTGCTGGCCTGAGAAGTGTTACGGGTTGTACGATATGCTATGTCCTCACTCATACATGACATATGTTCATTGAAA